GTTAAACACTAAAGCTTGTAAAAAATCCTTCTGATTTAAATGAAGTTAAAAAACTAAAAGAATCTAGCTCATTATTGGCAGCAAATGACTTAAATTATTAACTTGTGCAAAAGTATGTTGTTTTTCAGATACATTCACAAAAACTTTATATACATAAAGTAATGTTTCTTAGAGAATGTTTTAAACATAAAATTAGTCTCATTGAATTTAAATAAAGATATTTTATTTTTAAACAATTTATTTGTTTTGACAGTTGTATAAATTATAAATAGCATCATTACATCAATAAAATGGGTCTTTGTTTGACCAACAATAACTTAACATTTCTTGAAACTTAAAACAGTTACTTTAATTATTGACAATTTGCACAATTATCAGTGGTATTTTATTAAGTATAACTAACTTGTTTCTTATTTATTTCAGTATTATATTTTATCTGATTGTAGTTACGACAGAATTAGACAATGATATATTTTAAAATCAGGCCCTAAAGCTATGCGAATACTACTTTAAGAGATGAGAAAAAGTGTTGCTACTTCAGAAAACAGTTTCAAGTTGAATCAAAAGTAAAACAGTTTATTACTCATACTCCAACAACAAATGAAAACCAGGATTGTTTATTGTTTTGGCAAAATTATCACAGAAAGTACACAGACTTAGCAAAACTTGCGAAAAAATATTTTAGCATACCAACTTCGAGCGTATCAGTGTAATTAATGCTTTCAACAACTGGATTAACTCTTAACTTAAAAAGAAATATCTTAAGTTCTTCCGACATGAGCATAACTCTATTTATTTGTGGCAATATTAGTATTACTTGATTTTTTATTTATTAAAAAAATATATTTTTGTCTTAATCTAGAATTTAACTATTTTATTGTTATCAAAACATCTCATTCCTTAAATTAGGCAAATGGCTTAGCCAGTAACCAGCAAGTTTGAAGGTCAGCTAGTATTAGCTAGTTGACTAAGTCACTACGTCTTTTGCCATCAATTAAACTGCTAGCCAGGAAGTTGTATGTTCTAAGCAAGGCTTTACAAATTTCAGAAGCACTATAAAAAGGATACGCTTTTGCATTAAAACAACAGCGGTTATCTGCCCTTTGAGTAGCCTTTGATCGTATAGAATAGGTCTTGATTTTTAAGTTACTAGTATTTTTTTATTGTAATATTTTTAAAATGCAGCGATGTGTTAGATTAAAATGTGCAGCAATAGCAGTCAGTGTTTATTCTTTTTCGTTCAAAATTCCAATCTGAGCATGTTTTTCTGTTGTTATTTTATTATTATTTTTTTTAATTTACCAAAATTAACCAAAGGTGTTCAAAAAAGTATTTTTATTTATTAGTTACTTATTCAAAAACACAACCTGCAACGCCAAAAAGTTCATTATCAAAATTTAAAACTTCTTCAAATGATCAAATTCTAAAAAAATTATAAATTTTTAAATAAAAATGTTTATAATATAAGCAAAATAAATAAATATAATACCAAACTAATATTGGAAACGTTTACTTTTTTGATTTTGCCAATCATAGCACTTTTTTATCGAAATAATTAATCAAAAAATAAAAATACCGACCACCAAGTGGAAAAATTAGATCATTTCAAGATTTTATCAAAAATAGTATTATAAAAAGAAACAATGAAAGAAAAAATATATTTATATCATTGGTGATACAAACTTGAATGCTCCATCATATCACAAATTTCCTAAAACAAAATCTTTTTTTGACATGTTATTTAAATACAATCTTTTGCCTGTAATCAATAAACAGACTCGGGTAAATAGAACTTTTGCCACTGCCATCGATAATATTTTTATTAACAATTACTTAGAAACATCATTTGAGGCAGGTGTATTTTAGATTGATATAAGTGATAATTTTCCGATATATATTAACATAAAAAATGTTATAGCTATTTCGGAGGATCAACCTAAAATTTTAGGCCTAAAAAAACGTAACCTTTTAACTATAAATACAAACAATCTATCTCACAAATTATTTAGAGAAAATTGGAGTGACGATTATAAAATTCAAAATGCAAATAAAGCGTGTAAATTATTTTTAAACAAATTTCAAAAGCTTTTCAATAAAACGTGTCCAAATGAAGTAATAATAATAACAACAAAAACGTTTGCTAATCCATTAACAGATAAAACTCTAATAAAATGGTCTAAAACCAAACAAAAGTTATAAAATAAATTAAAAAAAATAAAAACACAGTTAATGAAAAAAATTGTCAAACATACAAACACTTTTATACCAATCTTTTAAAAAAAACTAAAAAAATATATTACAGCAAACAAATTACTACTTGTAAGTTAGATACTAAAAAAACATGGTCAGTAATAAATGATTTAATAGGAAAAAATAAAAATAAAACTTCCTTCCTACCAAAAAAATCAATATCGAAAATACTGATATGTTATGCCCTATATAAATATCTGAGGAGTTTAATAAATATTTTACAAAGGTAGTATTTGATAACAAAATTAATCTAAAACAATCAGACGACAAACATTGCACGACTTTGGTTAAACATTAAAGGAATTTGAAACATCTTTTTTCTCCTTAAAAATAAACAAATCGCCGGGATTTAATGATATACCCAGTAATATAGTTATTGCAAAGAAAGAATCAATTAGTAAACCCTTGTTTTATATAGTAAAATTATCTTTAAATGAAGGGGTATTTCCTGATGTCCTAAAATTAGCAAAAGTATTTCCAATTTATAAAAACAATGATCATTTTAACGTTTCTAACTACAGACCTATATCAGTGCTATCTGTATTTTGGAAAATATTCAAACGTGTATTTTACAATAGAATCTTTGATTATTTTACTAAAAGCAGTTTCTTTTATTCAAAAAAGATTTCAGAAAAATCATTCAACTGAACATGCGATTATTAAATTAGTTGATCAAATAAATAATGGAATTAAGGAAAACAACTTTACTTTAGGTATATTCATTGATCTCTCAAAAGCTTTTGACACTGGTGATCATTAAATATTGTTAGAAAAGTTGAAGCACTATGGAATAACTAATAAGGTCTACTATTGGATTAAAAGTTACCTCACGGATAGAAAATAATATTTTCTAAATCAAGAATACGGATTACTTAAAATCCCCTATGGAGTACGCCAAAAATCAATACTTGGTCCTCTCTTATTCTTAGTTTATGTAAAGATATAAATAATGCATCAATAAAGTTAAACTCAATTCGAACAAATCGCTAAAATTCCTTTAAACTGCCAAAGAAATTAAATAAACATACAGAATATTTAAGATCATATCGAGGACCTAAGTTATGGAATCCTTTTCAAAAACCTAATGCAAATATGGTAAAATTATTAAACTTATTTTAGTTTCAAGCAAAAAAACACATTTTTAAAACTGCGGAATAATAGCTCCAAAACAATTTTGTAAATTTATTCTAATGAATACTTATTATTCATAGTAGTTACTAATGATATGCGTTTATTTTAACGTATTAATTATCAAATCTTTTTATATATGTTTGTATTTGTTTCTTTGAATACCTAAAATTGCAAAATAGTTATTGCAAAATATCTTTGTATTTGTTAAAATAAGTTTTTTCTGTTATATATTTAGTTTATTTTATATATATACATTTTTTTGTTACTTTTATATTTAGGATATTTAAAACTCTTTTTGAATATTTAATAATTTTAAATATCAGTATTTTATTATATTAATGGGCTCTATAAAAAGGTTGAGGTGATATATCATCATCCATATCTTCTTTGAGTCCCAGTCAGTTTTTAAAATATTTTGTTTACTGATATTTACGATGTAAAACTCATCTGTAATTTAATTTAAAAGCCAAATATAAAATGAAAAAAAAAAATTGTTGGGCTTTTTCAACAGCCACACAGAAGTTTAGTATGCTTTTAAGAGTTTCTAGGTCCTTAGATTAGTCTATATTATTATTAGTGCATTACCAGCTTTTGACGCTTTTTAAAAAGTCACAATTTAAAAACAAAACAAAACAAAAACCTAGAACCAGTATTGCAGAAATTTTCATCATTAGTTGTGCATTTGATTTGTCAGCTTTTGCTATTATTGTTGTATGAGAGATAATATTTCTTGGTAAAACTAAATTTATTTTTTATGACACAACATCTTCAATGATTTTGATAGATTATTTTAAGTTTTTTACTTTTTTATTATTTTAATAAAAGCGCTAAAAACTAGCGCCAGTGCTGTGCCAGCGCCGGGCTGCCTATTGGTTTTGAAACGGGCCGGTATCGGCTGACGCAGCAACGTTTTGCTAGTGACAAGCCAGCATTAATTTATTTCAGGGACAACACTGGCAACCAAAAAACGTTGCACTAAAAGTCCACTACACAAAGTTGTCCAATTTAACATTTTATATCAATTTTACAGATTTACTAATTTTGCTTAACTATTTTTGTTATAACTTATAATAGGGGAGCGTGGTCTAATACGGGCTCCTTAGCATAGAAGTTCATTTTTTCCCGATATAGATACCAGTATTGAATGCCTAATGCAAGAATAGCATAACTTAGATGACAATGTAATTAATGGGTCATAATCAGTTGGATTAATATAACAAACTAATTAATTAATCATACTTTTAAAACTTGTGATTAGGGGCCCATTTTATCCCATAGCTAAGCCTAAAACGGGCCCGGGCCCATTTTAACTGGCCAGGTTAAGATGGGCCCCGGGCCCGTTTTAACCTTGTGCTCTGTCAGTGACAAAATCAGATCAGAACATTATTCAAATGATAACTTGTTAATTTTGCGTCTACGCTATCAGGATACTATCATGCAATAGCAAGATCTGAACAATAAACAACTCATCATTTCAACACAAAAACTAACTATTAAGCTATTAATAACGATGAATACATTTCACTTCTGCAGCTTCGTGAATAGGTTTTACAGTTAGATCTATTCATGATGAACAGTTAGCAATAGAAAGTTCACGTTCAAACGAGTAGCATGTGGTGCTACTCACAACATTGAACACATAAAAAGTAATCGTCATCAAATACTCCATTCACTTCTGCACACGATTCATGGTACCATGCCAGACAGGTTTTGCATGAAATCCAGTCACACGCCTTCACCTTATCCTCGACAGATTTTTCCATGATTCCACATTCTGGACAAACTGATTGGATAGGCCCAGTCTGTTTCACTCCTCTTTTTTGGTTTGTATTTAGTGCAGATTTAGGCTTCTTTTCTTTCGTTTTGCTAGTCTTCTTGTTTTTTTCTGCTGCCGCAAGAGCTTTTTTCACTTTTTTAGCCTCCATTGCAGCTATCTTCTCTTCAGCCAAACGCTTTTTTGTTTCTAAGCCTTGCTTGTAAGGACTGGCAGTCAAAATAGCAGTTTTACCTTTCGATTTCGATGTTTTGCGAATGCTGCCCACTTCCACTTTTGGTAAAGGCGAAATTTGCAAAACACGGACTTTAGGTTTATGTTCAAGAGCGTTTCGACAACCAACAGCTGTTGGTGTATTTAAACCGACACCGTCAGCATCACAGGGTTTTTGCAGAACTGGCTCGACCAATCTTGGTGAAGATGAACTGTCACCAACTTGTGCCTCTATCAACTCTATTGTTGTCGGAGAAACTAAAGAATCAACATCACCGCCACCGGGTTGCTGTAGAACTGGCTCGACCAATGTAAGTAGAGAGGCGATGTCACCAACTTGTCCTTCTGTCAGCTCCATTGTTATCGGAGAAATAACCTGAAGAATTAACTGATCAACATCATCGAGTTGCTCCATGCCTGACTCGTGTGATGTGGGTTGAGATGCCCCTTCACCAATATGCCGAATTAGTGGTTGTGACTGCAACACTGGTATCTGAAGAATCTCAATAGGCATGCCAGTTTTCTCTATAATGAGTTCAACATATTCGCCTGTTGGTGAAACTTCACCAGCAACCAACTCTGTATTGCTGCCAGTTGCTTCATGTTCCAATCTTGGAATATCTGTAGGCAATGAAGCAGCAAAGTCTGCATCTTGAAAGACATCACGATTGATTGGCCATATACCAGTTTTTCTAAACCCATTGACTGCAGTCAGAGCACTGGCTGCACGAAGATAAGCCTCTCGGAAGAGCGCAGGTAATTGCAGAGTAGTCACTATTCTACCTGGGTGAACAAGTAACCACTTCTCAACTTCTTGAGTGTAATACGTACTGAGTGGTTTCATCAAGCTTACGTCTAATGGTTGTAGCCGATGGCTGCAATGAGGTGGTAAACATAGGAGAGAAACACACTTTTCACGAGCAAGATTGATAACATCAAGATTTAAGGTGTGGGTTTTATGTCCATCAAGGATCAACAGTACTGGTGAATCGGCACACGAATGACTGTGATATACAAAATGTTCAAACCATTTCAGAAACAAATCAGTTTGCATCCAACCAGACGGATGGGCTACACCGATGGATCCTGGTGGTGCAGCATCAAGTAACTCAGGCTTCATTAGGCATCTCGGAAACACAAACATAGGAGGGATGAAATTACCTGATGCACTCATGCATATAAAATAATTTATTCACATTTATTTTGTGATGAACCACCTTAAGAAGTCAATGCCTGCATTAGCTGTCTAAAACGGGCCCTTTGGTCTAAAATGGGCCCATAGCGGGCCCGTTTTAGACACTGATAAGGCCATTACAAAATCCTCATGTTGTAACGTTCCGATAAAAAACACATGAAATTGCTCATTTCCTGAGTAATCGTAACAAAAAAACAAAAGCAATAGTGCCCTACCTTGTAACTCGATATGACGATATGACTTGTAGGTCTGTGATTTCGTAACGTCAAATAAAACAAGAGAAATTGATATAATTGATTCGACACGTTTTTACAAGACCCTGTCAATTATTAACGCAATGTAAACAATCATGCATATTCATTAAACTAAGCTGGTTCTATTTGCATTCAGAGTCACCGAAAAAATCCGCTTGGTGTCGTGCCAATCGTGGGGCCCGTTTTAACCGAGGGGCCCGTTATAGACCAATCTCCCCTACAATATTATTATATACTAGATATAGTAACCCGTAAAATACGGGTCAAGTTAGTATTTGGTAACATGAAATAAATTAATAATAACAACGAAATCAAATTTTATTACTTTTAAAATATATATGCACCTAATATTTTGTGTACTCTATTAACTTCGCATTTTGATAACTAAAAATACCTTAGAACTTGGTTTATTTTGTTAACTTTACCCTATTGTTTTTGGTAGATATAAACTCTTAGTTTATGATTCAAAAAGTAAACATCATAATTCTATAAAATTATAATTATTATAACAAGTGGCCTGTTTCGAAAACTTAAAGCTAATTAATGTTAAAACATACTAAAACAACAAAAGAAGTTTAACAGTTATACTTTCAATTAAAAACTGAAGTGCGGCAACATCACCTTAACTTTAATCTATAGCACTTACTTTTGTTTAAATAAACCTTTTTTAAATAAGATCTCTAAATAAGATCTGCTTTAATGTATAGCATTTAGTATAACATTTTATACAACATCGTGCGTGGTGTAAAAAAGTTTTAACATCTACAAGTCGTTTTTCTTAAACTGTTTTTTTTTTTTAATTTTTGCATTTATGTTATAGTATTTTAAAAAATTGACAGGTTTGTTTAAATACCAAACAATTTTCTTTTCCAAGTAAAAACATTAAAACTTCGATTTGCTCCTCTTTCGCTATTGGTAGAGCATCAACGTAACGTCCGCAATGTAAATGCTTTCATCTCATTTGCCTCAAATATATATATTTTTTGCTATAATTGTATAGCTAAGAATTAAATTTTTTAAAAGTTTTTTACCATATGGCAAGGTTTCGAACCCCCAAAACAACACTATTTACAGCGCACTTAAACTCTGAGCTATTGAGGATTTGCATTTGGGAGAAAAAGATATTAAATTATGAATCTCTTATAAGCTTAAAGTATTCGGAATAGATGATCATGTTAATTTATTTGCTCTTAAAACCATTTTTAAAGGAATGAACTAATTTACTAAAATTTTTTGAAGTAAATAAAGAATAATTATAGAAATGGTCAGTGTTGAATAGATAGTTATAAGAATGGTCGGTTTGGTAAAGACCCGTGGTTTTCAGGTCTCGATAGCAAGAATATATTGATATAGAACAAGTGAAGAAAACGTCTGTATGGAATAGACTTACAAAGACGGCTCCGGTAAGCCAGTAATCACGATTATGGTTGGGTTAGGGTTTACACTGGTTCTTGCAAAGAAATATTTGTTCTTAGAACTGCGTCCGCTATGGAAAAGTAACTCAAGCAACATAGAAACCATGCTATTTACAATTATCGCATCCAAAACAAGCACTATGTTCCTATATACATTTATAAAAAGCTTAAGTTTGGGTATCACACACAAGAACGAAAAGTTTTGTTCTTTGTATTGTACATAATTACTAACAATGCCATTATTCTAAAGGTCTTCTATTTTTTCAAAAAATCTTCTAAAAATTTATTAACACCATCTGGCTTCCCATTTCCATCGTATAACTCAATAACATATGGATTTTTATTTTGTTGATAGTTATTATCTAAACTTTTCTGTTGTTATTATTATTACTGTTATTATTATTGTTATTATTATTAATTGTAGCCGTAAAATATACATTCCATATATACATACAGCGAGCAGGAAAAAATATCCTACAATAAACAACCAGTTTTATAAATATTCGTTCCAAATTTTATCTTCAACCAGTGATCTAATCTAATTTTAAAAAAAAGTACAGTTGAGTATAAAGCTATTTGCTTGGGTAGTTCATTCCATTATTTTGCTGATTTATTTTATAGTTAAAAGTGTCTCGAAAGACAGTTTGGAACAAATTCACGTCTTATTTTATGATGGTGACCACGTGACAATAAGTTAATAAATTTTGCCTAATATATTATTAATTATATTAAATCGATGTATTAGTTTAAAAATTTGAGTTTGATAGCATCGCAAGCGCAAAAACTCAAGATATGGTAGATTTAGTCTTTCGTAGTTTTAAAGGTTTCTCAAGCTTAAATTATTATTATTTTTTTTTCCTTAATAATATTCAATATAGTTTATACAATAAGATAGTTAAGATAAAAATCGTTATACAATAAAGGAAATATATACAAAAAAAGAACGCCGAGACTCGCAAAGACCTTCAGGTCTTATCACCGAGAACCACTCGTGAATATTAAGCACATTAAATTAACATGAAGTATAAAATCAAAAGAACAAAACAATGTTGTAGTAAAAAGTAGCAATAACTTGCAAGAATTTAAATTTAGTAAAATTAGTTAGACAATAGGCCAGAACTGTGTATTAGAGGTTTATATTGTCTTAAAAAGAACCAGTTGAAATTTCATTTTTCTTATCACACTACAAATAACATAGACCCTTTTACACTTCATGCTAAGCAATTTTTGTTTTCACTATTGACTTTAAAATTTTTGATAAACCAAAAACTAATTTTTTCACAATGCATGTTAGATCAGTGAATGCTTCTTTTGTATTATTATTTTGATAGGATCATAAAGCTAAATTATCGTCTCGTTCAGTTATTACATCGTGCTCATCACTTATATCAGATAGTCACCGTCTGATGAAGTTTCGAGTTTACTGTTTTCATTATCAAATTAAAAAGAAACATTGAAGTTATTATTAAAATAATTATTTGAAAGCTATGTTTTCTGAGATGTTTAACAAATGTTTTCCGCAATAGCTTTAAAGGAATGTCTTGGGCAAAGTGCCAATAGCTTGATGAAATTAAACCCAGTCTCACGTATATAATCAGAGTTACGAGCTCCTTTGATAACAAGTTCTCCATGATTTATTTTGGTTTAAAAAATTTAAAATTCTTTTTGAATCTTTTTTTCTTTTAGTCCAAAGCTTATCCCTAAAACCAAAACTATACAATGCCTTTTAGTAAAAGTTATGAACTTAAAGCTAACTAGTTGGAGACACAGTTCATTTATTTATTCATTAGTCTTTCCATAGAACTTTTAATCAATTTGAATACTATATTATGGTATTGCCGTATCTAGATGGCGTGACTTTTAAGGTACGTTTATGGCCCCAAAACGGCCTACCAGTTCTGGGTGCAGGTTCACAAAACAATTTTAACTCATGGGTAACTTACAAAAAGCGTACGCAAATTTATTCTTTTAATAAAAAACCAAAATTTCACTTCGACTAATTATTTTGTGTCACAAACTCTAAAAATGTCAACAGGTTCTTTGCAAGGTATTGAAATGATGGTAGATCCTTTAAAAACGCAAGCTTTCAGAGTTTACTCATTAAAGCAAACTTATCAAGTTAGCCTAAAGTATGAAAAGTTTATAGCATAAACAACTTATTGGCCAATATTTATCCCAAAACAGCTCATTTTAGAACTCAATCAAACTTTGTTTAAGAATAAAAATAAATAAATTTATTGCTTTAACGAGTTTATTATACTTATTACTAAAATTCTGAAAAGTTTCCAAGCATCATAAGAGTAGTTTCAAGTTGTTTAATGCAGCATGCTTAAACATAACATTGTAAGAAAAAACCAGTTTAAGAAAATTAAAACTAAAAAATAAGTAAAAACTTTTATTTTATTTATAAAGATTTGCTATTAATCCTCAATGTAAAAGAGTTGTCTAATTTTATAAAAGAAGTCTAAACTTATAAGTTTGTTAACTTATAAATTTATATCCATGTCGGATATGCCTTTATTAGGTAAATTAATAAATATTGGTTTCATTATGTCCCAATTTACAGCTGGTTATCTTGGTTTTTCTTTAAACACTTATGTTTTAACAATATTGTCTGCTTAAAATTTGCGCCAGTTATTAACTGTTCCACAACACATATAGTGCCTTACTTCTAAATATAGTGCCTAAAAATCAAAAAATCACTGTTTTTTAATTACTAAATATTGATTTTTATTAAAATATCATCATAAACTTTATTTTGTTCTTTTTTAATAGAATAGAACTTCATGTACCATAAACACCCTGTGCAATTAATTAGCAACAAAGAACTTAAACATTTTTATTTTTTAAATCTATATTCATGATAATAGACTTTTAATAAACTCTTGAAGCACAAGTTTTTCTTTTTCTCAAAAGAACATTTTTCAAAGTGTACATTTAGAAATAGAATATATTTTTATTCTTCACAAATTAAGTGTTTTACTCAGGCTATATTTGACCTCAATAACCAAAAATGGTAACTTTAGCGTTGAATCTACAAGTAATAATAAACTAAGCAATATTTTACCTTAGTAAAGTGGTTTGGTTACATAATTTATTGGTTACATAATTTGGTTACATAATGGTTAAAAAAATAAAAAATATCACTCAGTATTATCTAAAAATGAAAATCTTTTGCTCAAGTGGTTCAATAACAATTGATGTATGATGTATATCCTTCGCAATGCGAACGCTTAGAAGCATTTAACTGTGGTATAACGCTTAGAAGTAAATAACTGTGGTATAAAAAATTTGTGGTATATTTTCATTT